TTTCTTTCTTTCCGAATGATCGGCATTTCGGTGGGCTCCAACGGCGGAACCTGTTGGCAGTTGTCTCTACTTTCGTAGTCCCAGGCCTTTCAGCCTTGTAGTTTTTTTCGTCTCCGCCCTTCTGAAGACTCGTAGGCACCCGGAGGTCTATCTAATGTGTGTCCTAGCCTTCGGTCCACTTACTGTAGATTTTCATGTAAATGCATGTACTTTGGATCTTTACCAAAATGCGGTTGTAGATGTTTGTCGTTTGGACGGTTGTGTAGGTCTGTAGGTGCGTGGTGCGTTGTGCATCTACGGAAGTTGGGTAGAAGTAGGTCAGTCGTTGAATTAAGGGTTGTTGTCGTTGCTTTTCTTACCACGGGGTTGGTGGAGGTCCCATTGTCTGTCTGTTCTGTTGTTGTGGACATGTACGCAAACCATCACATTATCCGTATGTGAGTGAACACTAAGTGTGTTTGCTGTTTCCTTTCTCTGGCTCTACATTCTTTTATCCAATGACCTGTAATTTATATGCTTGTTTTGTTAGCATCGACTCCTCTTCTCCCTCTTCCACGTGTGCACGCGCTTCTCTCTTTCCCACCCTCTGTCTGTCTGTCTGTTCTGTGTTGTGGTCCTGACCAATTTCGGAGTGTTCAATCGGCAGAAAGTTCAATGGCGTCCAATTGCAAAAAAAAATGTTTAAACATGAGGGGAGAGAGAGAGAAAAAGGTGATTCCGAATCCTGCTTCCTCCCCACTTATTCAAACAAGAAAGAACAATAATAATGTTGAATGGATGAACATCATCTATGTTGCATTGACGAATCTCAACCGCAGGAAGAAATCCACATAGGTCAAAGATATGCATGAACAACATAAAGCAGTTTTGTGGTCTGTCTGCTCCGTCTGTTGTGTCCGTCTGTCTGTCTGTCCATCTGTCTGTCGGTCTGCTCTGGTTTGTATGTCTGTCTGTTTGTCTGTCCGTCTGTCTGTTTGTCACTTTGTCTGTCTGTCGCCTTGTCTGGTTAGTCAGTCAGTCAGTCTATCTATCTAGTCTGTCTGTCTGGTCTGTCTATCTATCCATTTGTCTATCTGGCCTGTCTATCTATCTGGTCTGTCTATCTATCTGGTCTGTCTATCTATCTGGTCTGTCTATCTATCTGTCTATCTATCTGGTGAGTCTATCTTGTCTGTCTATCTATCTGTCTATCTATCTGTCTATCTATCTGTCTATCTATCTATATGTCTATCTATCTGTCTATCTGGTCTGTCTATCTATCCGGTCTGTCTATCTATTTGTCTATCTATCTCGTCTGTCTATCTATCTGTCTATCTGGTTGTCTATCTATCTGTCTATCTGGTCTGTCTGTCTATCTATCTGTCTATCTGGTCTGTCTTGTCTGTCTGTCTATCTGGTCTGTCTGGTCTGTCTATCTGGTCTGTCTGGTTTGTCTATCTATCTGTCTATCTGGTCTGTCTGGTCTGTCTGTCTCCTAATCTGTCTGTGTATCTGTCTGTCTGTCTATCTATCTGGTTTGTCTGTCTATCTGGTCTGTCTGTCTATCTGGTTTGTCTATCTGGTCTGTCTATCTGGTCTGTCTATCTATCTGGTCTGTCTATCTATCTGGTCTGTCTATCTATTTGTCTATCTATCTGGTCTGTCTATTTGGTTTGTCTATCTATCTATCTATCTATCTATCTATCTGTCTATCTATCTGTCTATCCATCTATCTATCTATCTGGTCTGTCTATCTATCTGTTTATCTATCTGGTCTGTTTATCTATCTGTCTATCTATATGGTCTGTCTATCTGGTCTGTCTATCTATCTGTCTATCTATCTGGTCTGTCTATCTGGTCTGTCTATCTATCTGTCTATCTATATGGTCTGTCTATCTGGTCTGTCTATCTATCTGTCTATCTATCTGTCTATCTATCTGGTCTGTGTATCTATCTGGTCTGTCTATCTATTTGTCTATCTATCTGGTCTGTCTATCTATCTGTCTA